CCCTCCCCTCCCCTCCCCTCCCCTCCCCTCCTCTCTTCTCTTCTCTTCTCTTCTCTTCTCTTCTCTTCTCTTCTCTTCTCTTCTCCCTTGAGACAGGGTCTCTCTGTAGCTCAGATAGGCCTTGAACTCAAAACCTTCCCTTCTGCATCAGCATCAGGAGCCCAAGGGTCTTTTCTTGAAGTTCATGACCTTCTGAGAAAGAGACAGGTGGGAATTAGGGAGCTAGCAAAGACATCCCCTTAGTGTGGGTATGTATTTTCCTGTTCTCATAATTACACCAAGAATCCACTTTTTCCTTTTTAAAAATTTTTTTCTTCCTTTTTAAAAATCTTTTTTAATTCTTTAAAAATGTGTGTTAGTGTTTTGCCTGTATATATGCCAGTATGAAGGTGTCAGATCCGCTGGAACTGGAGTTACAGACAGTTGTGAGCTGCCATGTGGGTGCCGGGAACTGAACCTCAGTCCTCTGGAAGAAGAGTCAGTGCTTTTAACCTCTGAACCAGGTCTCACAGGGTTTACCTGTGTTAGCCTGTCCTGGAACTCACTCTGTAGACTCACAGAGATCCACCTGCCTCTGCCTCCTTCCCGAGTGCGGGGATTTAAGGTGCGCCACTTTTGTTCCTTTATTCTGGTGTAGAATGGAATCCAGGGATCAGCCATATGCATTATGCAAACCGTCTGCCACACACCGCATCCCCAGCCCCTTACTCATGATTCTAGGCAAGCGTTCTGCCCCTTAGCTACATCCCTAGCCTCCAATTTGTCTAATCTAGAAACCCCTAGAAGAGAGATGCTGCCAAAGCAGATCGGGAGAAACTTCTTCAGTTGAACAAAATTGTAGAACAAGTCACTCATTGGAAACCTCATTTTTCTATCCCAAGGCGGTTGATCTGAGGTGGGGCATCCCAGACACGCAGGCTGCTAACTGCTTGACCACAGAACTTTGCTTAGAAGAACTTGACCGCTGCCAGAGAACGTCCGTAGGACCAGCTTTTGTGGTGAGTGTGCCAGGGTAGGTGGAGTTGCCCTTATTTGTTTTCCATCACAGTGTGGCTCCTGACAGCTATGCAGACAGAAGAGTGAGACAGTGGGTGGCAGCTTAGCAAACATACCAGTCCCCCGCAAACTGGTCATGACAGACATAACTAATCAGTAACAGAAGTAGCTGGAATTCAGGCATTAGTAATCAAATGCAACAGTAAGTGAGTTGGAGAGTATAATGATAACTTGGGAGGGAATTTTCCAGGCTGGTTTAAAATTCCCTTCACTCTTCCCACCTGGTCCACTCTACATATGTAAATGGAAGGCTGCTTATTCATTCCTGGCTGCCCAGATCTGAAATAATCACACAGAAACTATTTGTAATACTGTTTGACCAATAGCTTAACAGTATTGCAGCTAGCTCTTATATCTTAAATTAACCCATTGATGGTAGAGATATTGGGTGCTTAAAAGAAATCTCACACTGGCTCAGAACTGAGAGATAGATATTTATTTAGGGGGAAAACTTACAAATCAGGATTCTCTGCTTGAACAATGGATGGAGATCCGATCCAAAACAAACGGAACTAGCAAACAGGGACAGAGGGGGCAGAGAGAAGGGGCCCGACACGCTTCGGCATCCGGGTAAATAGTCTATGAGGCCACGTCCCATGTCTCTGCTGGTCTGGAACACACACCTGTACCCTCCTCTGTCACCAAAATAATCTCCAACCTGGTGGATGGAGCAGGCCCGTAACTCCAGCACCCGGAGGTGGGGGCAGTGGGAGCAGGAGGTCAAGGTCATCCTTGTCTGCCAAGTTCCTGTCTCAGAAGGTGGAAGACAAACAAACAGAAAACCAAGCTGGTAGTACCCAGCACTTGGGAGGCAGAGGCCAGCCTGGTCTATAGAGTGAGTTCCATGAGTCAGAGACACATGAAGAGACCTTGTTTTGAAACAAAACAAACAAACCCCCTCAGACCCAGTAGTTACAAGCCTGTGCTTTGGGGGGAACAGAAGGAGGGGAGGTGAACTGTGGTTCCTGTGTAAAATGAATAAAAAAGTTTTTTAAAAGTAAGTAAGTAAATAAATACATGAAAATAAAAAAAGAAAAAGAAATTAAGCCCAGTAGTGGTGGTGCATGTCTTTAATCCCAGCACTAGGTAGGCAAACAGGAAGATCTCTGTGTGTTTGAGGCCAGCCTGGTCCACAGAGTGAGCTCCAGGACAGGTACCAAAGCTACAGAGAAACCCTGTCTCAAAACACACACACACACACACACACACACACACACACACACACACACACAAAACCAACAATAACAACACAAAAAAATCTGTGCTCCTCTGGTCTTGCAGAGGACTCCAGTTCAGTTCCCGGCACCCATGTCAGGTGTCTCACAACTATCACAACTCCAGTCCCTGGGGTCTGATGCCCTCCTCTGGCCTTTGCGGGCACTGCACTCATGTGCACATACCCTCTCACAGGCCCTCAGTGCCCACGGTAAGGGCTACAGATCCTGCACAGCAGCATTCACATTGCCTGGATCGTGTGAGTGTGTTGGCATCACGGATTAGCAATCTCCCAGATTTCTAGAGTGTCCTATGGCTAGTGTGGCCTCAGAGAACAAAGCAGAAGAAGTTGGAGGTGCAGGCATATACCTGTCATCGCAACTACTTGGGAGATGGAGGCAGGAGGATTGCTTCAACCCAGAAGTCTGTTTTTAAAGAATATTTTTAAAAATGTCTTCTTTGACAATTTCTTACCTTCATACACTTTATCTTGATCAAATACACCCCAACTTCCTCTGCCTACTCCCCTCAATCTCCCAGACACCCCTTCTCCCACTTTTGTGTCTTTTAAAAAGGTAACCAGGCTGGGCGGTGGTAGCATACGCCTTTAATCCCAGCACTCAGGAGGCAGAGGCAGGCGGATCTCTGTGAGTTCGAGGCCAGCCTGTTCTACTAGAGCTAGTTCCAGGACAGGAACCAAAAAGCTATGGAGAAACCCTGTCTCGAAAATCCAAAATAAATAAATAAATAGGTAACCGGATGAGTCCCGTTAGTGCACTGAATGCACACGGCCATCCCAGAGCCTGCAACCGGCTAGAGGTCCCACCCTTGAAACAAAGTGCCTCTCCTTCCCCGGCAGTCAGGGCACCCCTCTCCTTCCCCCAGCAGTTATGGACCGCCAACAGGGTCTCAGGCCAGGGCACCCCTCTCCCACACACACAGACTTTAGCTGTCTTGGACATGTGCAGGTGTAGCTGCCATGGGTTCGTGCGCTCAACAACCACGTGTCCACAGCACCCTTCCCATCCCTTTGGGAGGGAATTGAGAGAGATGTCCCATTTAGAGCTAATGACTTGGAGGCCAGCCTAGGCAACATGAGGAGACCTCATAGTAAGAAGAGCAAAGCAAACATTGGGACTGGGCAAGAGCTGAGGCACGCCTCTGCAGATGTTGTTGTGGTGGTGGTTGTTATTTTGCTTTTTTTTTTTTTTTTTTTTTGAGACGGGGCTTCCCTGTGTAGCTCTGACTGTCCACCATTCCTGGTCACATGATTTAACTACAGTGCCCTGGTGTCTTCAGACTGTGTCCTGACCTCTTCATACTCAACTCCCAGTATGTTTTCATTGCTACTGCTTTAATTTATTTTCTCGGGCTGGGGAGAGGGCTCAGTGTGTAAAGTATCTGGTGTGCAAGCATGAGGACCTGAGTTCAAATCCCAAGCACCAGGGGGCAAAGACGAGATGGGGGCAAAGACCAGCCAGTCAGTGAGTTCTTGGCAGTCAAAGAACTCAGGTTCCTGAAGAGACTGAGTGTGGACTGGAGAGATGCTAAGCAGTGATCCGTGCCTGTGTGATCCCAAGGACCCAGCACCCACATCTGGGAACTTGCAGGTGCCTGTAAACTCCTGCTCCAGGGGATCTGACACCCTCTTCTGGCCTCTGTGGGCACTGCGTCCACCACAGCACACACTCACACACATGGAAATAAACTTTAAAAAAATTAATAAGGTAGAAGAAGGCTAGGAGTCATATTGTGTGTACCTTTGGCCTCCATGTGCACAGACCACAGACACACACATATGTACACATGCATGTACACACACACACATGCACACACACGATAAAAATGTCCTTTTGCTTATAACTCCCTTTCTCAGTTATTATTCCCAGAGACCTGGAATCATGTTGAGTTAGCAGGGAGAACAGGGTTTCATTTTTCCCTTTTGAGAAGAGATCGCACGTGGCCCAGGGCGGCCTCACGCTCACTATGAAACTGAAGCTGGTCGCTGACTAACTCTCCAGCCTCTGCCTCCAGCGCCGGGATAGCAGGCCTGTGCCACCAGCCCGTCCCTTCTGTGTGTTTATTTATCTATGGCAACAGGGCGCAGGCCTTAGCACACGTGTGGAGGTCAGAGGCCGACCTGCAGAAACCGCTTCCCTCATCCCACCATTCGAGTTCTAGGGGCTGAACTCACGCTGTCTGACTCCACAGCAAAATGCCTTTACCCATGGAGCCATCTTACCAGCCCTGAGAAAATGCTTCATTAAATGAGAAATGACTGGAGGATGTCACAGGGAAAGTGACTCCCAGCCCTCACTGCAGGCTGAGAAAAGCAGATGCTTCAGCTGCAAGGGGAAGGAGGGTCCCCAGGCCTCCCCCATCCACAGGCCTGCAGCTCCGAGTTGAGGCGTCCCGACTCCTCCACGGCATTGCCCGCTTTGTCCCCAGAGCCTGTCTATCACTGTCACTCTTGTTGGGGACTTTCCACGAAATCAGACCCACACTGGGACCCTGGAGAGACAGTTCTGTGGTAAATAACTCATTAGCAGTCCTCGGGTTCCCCACGCACCTCCTGTAGAGGCTGGGCCTCCTGGGGCTCCAGCTGCTCCTAGAACCTCCCTTGCTCTGTGGATCCAGCCCCAAACCTCCCTCTGAGGTGGGCTGGACCTTGTTCCTGGGAGGCTGTGAGAACCCTGGAGGAACTGCCTGACAGTCCTGAACAGGATGTGTGGCCTGGGCCTTTCTGCTACTCAGGAGGCTGAGGTTGGAGCTAGCCTGAGCAACATGGGAGCCCTGACTCAAAGCACCAGAAACTTGCCTGTTTCCTTCGTGTGTGCCCATGCACATGCATGCGCGCGCACACATACACACACACCACATGTGCGTGCGCACACACACCACATGTGCACACACACTTGCATGCACAGGTCTGCATGTGCAAGCATACACACAGGCCTGCCTCAGTTTCTGCTTCCGGGTGTTCTCCTTCCCCTCTCCCTGTGTGTCTCTTTCCATTACCTTTCCTCCCCGCCCATCTTCCCCTTTCTCTCCCCCTCCTCACTCTTCTTTCTCCATCTTGTGGCTATCGTTGGGCTTCGTTCTTCTGAGACAGCTTTCCTTTGCTGTCCGTGTTGGCCATGAACCCACACTCCTGCCTCAGCAGGAGTGCTGGCATCCCCCATACCCCCACACCCAGCTCTGACCAGGGTTCTTTCTGTAACTGTTACCATGATGCCATACCAGGCTGGCGTTCAGAGCCTCAGTGTGCTTCCTTCACAGCCCTAGTCAAATTTGACAGTGTCAAATGGGATTTGAACCCATGCCCCATCTGTTTTCCTGCCAGGCTCTCCTGGGCGACCAGTATGGCCCCTGTCTGGTTCCCCAACGGATCGAGGAGAAAGAGTGGGAGGCACTAAGGGCCCAGCTGACCTCCAGGCCTCGAGATCTGAAGCTGGTGGCCAGGCATTTCCGGAGAGACGACAACACCATCCCTCCCACCTACGTGCTGCAGTCTGCAGATTCCGCAGAGGACCCAGGGCCTGAGGAGGCCACCTTGACCTCTGTCCTGCAAGGCGGAGCCCAGGAGGCCCGGAGGCTGGGTCTCCTCAGCCAGGAACAATGGAAGCGCTATCATCGATCAGGTGAGGCCCAGGGATCAGGTGTTGTTGGGGGAGACAACAGACATCCCCCAAGACCTCAAATACAAGTGTTTCATCTCAGTCAATGCCAAATCTGCTTGACTCCCTGGAGAATGCACAGCCCGAGCCAAACCAGGGTCAGTCTCTAGGATCTTTTCCTGTGCCCTGACTGCCCTCCTCTCCCAAAGTGACCACCATACCCAGTTTGCCTGGGACTGAGCGTGTTCAAGAATGTGTTTGCTTTTTTATATGCATTTGTTTATGGGCTGCGGAGTGTGTGCCCGCTGTGGAGATGTACGGAGGACAGAAGACAGTTTGCAGGAGTCAAACTCAGGTCGTCAAGCTCGGTTACAAGGACCTTTACACGCTGATGCATCTCGCTGATCCTAGAAGGCTGTGTGTGCGCGCGTGTGTCTGAGCATGCTCGTGTAATCACAGGTGCACAGGGTGTGTGCACATATGTGGCCTGCACTTGTCAGGAGTCTCCCGACTCACTGAACCCTGATCTCATAGGTAGATGACCAGCTTGCTCCCCAGAGTCCCTGTCTGTTCCCAGTGTGCTGGTGTCAGCCAGTTGTCACGTAGCACGCCTTTCTATGATTACTATGATGAGCTGAGATCCTTGTGAATATATGGCAAACTCTTTACCCACTGAGTCATTGCCCCAGCCTCTGGAGGATTTTTATTTATTTATTTATTTATTTGTTTATTTGTTTGTTTGTTTGTTTATTTATTTATTTATTTTGGGGTAGGATCTCCTGTAACACAGGCCAGCCTTGAATCTGTTACATAACGAGAATGACCTTGAACTCCTCCCCCCAGCCCCCCACCTCCGCCTCTAGAGTACTGAGGAGGTTGCTGTTCACCATTACACCTGTGTGTGGTGCTGGGAATTTTGCTGTGCATGTGCTAAGACTCAGAATTTAACACTGGTGCAGTCCAGTTAACTGGAATCCAGACGACGCCAGGTCCTTCCCATTCCAGTTAACTGGAATTCAGACGACACCAGGTCCTTCCAGCCCAGCTGTTTTTAGTCTTTCATTTTGCAGCAAGTCACCCAGGCTGGCCTTGAACCTGTGATCATCCTGCCTCAGCGTCCTGAGCAGCTGAGTAAGCGACCTGCCTCCATGCCTGCCTTGGAGAGAGGACATTGGGTGATTCTTGTCCTTGACTGGAGCACAGTGTCCCTAGGGGCCTGGCTCTCCCGTCAGCTCAGAGAGGCTTCAAAAATAACTCTGGCTGCAGTTAAAAAACAAGAGCCTCCTGAGACAAGTCAGTGCGAGTTCTGGCTTCTAGAAACTAAGGTCCAGGGAGATGGCTCAGCGGGAGAGCGCCGGTTGCTCTTTCAGAGGACCCCAGCTCAGTTCTTTTCTGCCCCCACACCCAGACTCTACTCACAAGCACAAACCCACACACATATGCACATAATTTAAGACAAAATTTTATTTCTATAAATTCCTGGGCTTGAGATCCATCCCCAGCACCACACACACTGTAATGGTATACAGCAGCCGCCTCAGTACTCGAGGGGGCAGTTCAAGGTGGTGGTGGCACACGCCTTTAATCCCAGCACTCAGGAGGCAGAGGCAGTCGGATCTCTGTGAGTTCGAGGCCAGCCTCTAACAGTCTACAGAGGGAGTGCCAGGACAGCCGAGGCTACACAGAGAGAAATCTTTAAAAGATAAAAGAGCTGGGGGTGGGGGGAGGTGCTACAGCACACCCTGGGGGGGGTCAGCCAGCTGTGGTACTGGGGTCAAGCCGTTGACACACTCAGGCACATTCACTTGGTTGCCATCGACAGATTCATCTTCTTTGGCCCTTTGTGGGTGAGGTGCAAGCTTGTTCCCAGACAGCGCTTGCTACTTCTACCCAACTGGTTAGTAAAGACTCCAAACTCTGTAATAATCCTTCCTCCTTCCTCTCTGCCTGCACAGCCTCCTGTCCCATGGCTCATGTCTGGGAGGACAGTCTCCTTCCTTCCTCCTTCCTCTCTACCTGCACAGCCTCCTGTCCCCATGGCTCATGTCTGGGGGGGACAGTCTCATTCACTCATCACCTTTTTCAGAGGTGACCTTTGACATGGAGTCCCCATGTGGACCACAGAGGCTAACACATGCAGGAGCCGAGTGTTTGTTGATTGACTGTTTGAGGGGACACTCACAAAGTTGAAAACCCCATTTAGAAAGCAAACAGTTTAATACTCACCATGCTGTGTACTGCCACCTCGGTCTAGTTCCAGAACATTCTATCACCTGAGTAGGAGGCTGCTCCCTGGGGCCAGCTGCAGAAGGCCGCTCATTGGCTAGCTGTCTACACATGTGCCTGATCTGGATGTCTCATCAATGGAGTCACACACCGGCTGGCTTTCATGTTTTTTTTCTTCCGAGGCCGTCTCCTTGTGTGGTCCAGGCTGGCTTAAAGCATTGTATGCTAAGCCAGCAATGTGACCCAGGAGGTGTTTGTGCCGTGCGTGTTCTGTGCAAACGGCTGTGTGGGTACATGCAGGTGGAGGCCAGAGCAGGACATGAGTGTTGTCGTTGGTCACTGATTCCTTTGAGACCAAGTCTCTCCTTGAACTCGAAGCTTGTAGTTTCGGGTAGGCTGACTTGACATCGAGCTTCTGGCATAACACAGAAGAGGCTGGCCGCTGGTCTACACACACACACACACACACACACACACACACACACACACACGAGTGCATATCCCCCATGGGCTTCTGCAAGCTACCCCAAGTGACAGTCCCACTTGCTCACCTTGACAGCTTGTGTTCCCCTGGAACCTGTCACCCCGAAGCCCCTCACAGGCCTCAGTGACCCCATGGCCTCTTCTCTTGTTCGCTCTGTTTTGCAGTCATTGAGTGGGAGATTGAGCAAGGCCTCCTGAGCTCAGCACGAGGGGACCAGGGAGCCACTGTCTTCCTGAGAGATGTGCAGGACCTTAGTAAACACATCTTGGACGATTGCTCTCTGAAGATGGTTGATCGGCTGGCAGACGGCTGCCTGGACACGGACGCCCAGAGTCTTCTCAGCGGCCTCAAGGGACGCATCCTAGATGCTCAGCCTGGAGCCCTAAAGTCCCACCGCCTGCCCTGGAGCCGAGACCTGGTCAATCCCAAGAATAAGGCCCACGCTCGCTACCTGAAGGAGCTGAGCGAGCAGTTCGTGGCCAGGACCAACCATCAAGTCCTGGAGCAACTGCGAGAGCTAGAGTCAGGCAGACAGGAGCTGGGCTGGCTCTACCAGGAGATCCGCCAGCACCTCTGGCGGGGTGCAGAGTCCGCCAGAATCTTCTGCGGCCGGCAAGAGCTCCTGGCTCAGCTGAGGCAGCGGCTCAGACAAGATGACATCTGGCCCCATACTCCGCTGGTTCTCTTTGGACCTCCTGGCATCGGGAAGACCTCCCTCATGTGCAAGCTAGCCGAGCAGGTACCAGGGCTTCTTGGCCACAAGACGGTGACTGTCCTGAGGCTGTTAGGTACATCAACCATGAGCCTGGATGCCCGAAGCCTCCTCAAGAGCCTGTCCTTCCAGGTGTGCTTGGCCTACGGGCTGCCACTGCCCCCAACCCAGGTCCTGGAGGTCCATGGCAGGCTGGGCCACTTCTTTCACACCCTCCTCCACACGGTGTCCCGTAGGAACTTTGAGTCCCTGGTTCTGCTCCTGGACTCGGTGGATGATCTGGATTCCACATGCCATTCTCAGAGGATTTCCTGGCTGCCCCTCAAGTGTCCCCCAAGGGTACACGTCATCCTCTCTGCATGCTCAGACCAGCAGGTGTTACATACCCTGCGACAGACCCTCAAGGACCCCAGTGCCTACTGGGAGGTGAAGGCCCTGTCTGGATGCCAAGGACAGGAGTTCATCCAGCTGCTACTGCATGCAGAAAGGAGGACGCTGAGCCCGGGTCAGAGGGACATCCTCTGGGCCAGCCTCCCAGAGTGCGGCCACCCAGGGCGGCTACGGCTGGCCTTTGAGGAGGCTCGGAAATGGGCTTCCTTCACTGTACCAGTGCCCTTGGCCACCACAGCTGAGGAAGCCACACACCAGCTCTGCATCCGCCTGGAGGAGACACACGGGCAGCTGCTGGTGGCTCATGTACTGGGCTACATTGTGTCTTCCAGGTAAATCTGCCCATGTTCCTATGTGCCTCCCTCCCTCCCTCCCTCCCTCATTCCTTTCTCCTCCCTCCCTTCCCTTTCCTTCTTTCCTCCCTCCCCTCCCTTCTCTTCCCCCCTCCCTCCCCTCCCCCCTCCCCTCCCTTCCCTTTCCCCCCTCCCTTCCCTTTTCCCCCTCTCCCCTCCACCCCTCCTTTTCTGTTGGTCAGGTGCATGTGTGTGGTGTGTGCGTGCAGAGCCAGGGGAAGATGCGGTACCCGGGCTCTTTCCCTCTCAGCTTTAGTACCTAGAGACAGGGTCTCTCACTGACCCAGCTGGGGTTATGGCCACACCCTCACAGCCACACCCATCCCTTTGTATGGATGCTGCAGATTCCCACTAAGGTCCTCACACTCCCAGATAGATGCTCTTTCTACCAAGCCATGGGCAGCCCTTCTTCCTTCCTTTTCCACAGGGATTTGGACAGAACCAGTGTTTTGTGGAGGTTAGGTACGTGCTGTAGGGCTGAGCCTTGGTCCACCCTGTGTGTTGATTTTGTAGCTTGCTGCTTGGCTGAAAGTATTGGTCAACTCCAGGAACGTCCTGTCTTAGGGTCTTTTACGCACACAACCATGTTCATCTTACATTACTCCAGGAACGTCCTGTCTTAGGGTCTTTTACACACACAACCATGTTCATCTTACATTGCTCTGGCCAAGACTGCAAACTCTGTTGGATGAGAAGAGACAGTGGCACGCTTGTCCTGGTTCAGCTCCACTTGGCACTTGTACTTTGCCGGTGGTCGGTTTGTTGCACGTAACTTACCCCCTCACAGCTGTGGTGGTTGCTGTAGGCAGAGTTTTCCTGTCCCAGCAGACATTTCCTTTTGTAAGGAGGCTGCTTGTTTGTTTCCCAGCCACATAGACTCCTGAAATAATCACACAGAAACTAGATTATTTAAGTCACTGCTTGTCCCGTTGGTTCTAGCTTCTCATTTGCTAACTCTTACATCCGAATTTAACTCATATCCATTCATCTGTGCATCACCACAAGGTCGTGGCTTACCAGCAAAGTTTCATTGTGTCTGTCTCTGGTGGAGGCTCCATGGCTTCTCTTCATCTCTGCCTCCCAGCATTCAGTTTAAGTTTCCCCACCTAGCTCTGTTCTATCCTATCAGGCCAAGTCAGTTTCTTTATTCATTAATAGTAACCACAGCATACAGAGGAGAATCCCACATTAATTTCACAAATAACCAACACTGAGACTTAATATTACTTATAAGTGCTTTGCCAATAGCTCAGGCTTGTTGCTAGCTAGCTCTCACATTTAAATTGACCCATATTTCGTATCTACACTCTACCATGTGACTTAGTACCTTTTCTCAGTGTCTGCTTGTGACTCCTGTTACTCCACCACTCTTCATCCCAGCATTCTCTCTGTCTCAGGCTGTCTTGCCCAGTCTCTTCTTGCCCAGCTGTCAGTCAACCAGCTTTTTATTAACAATGAGAGCAATGCAGTGTGCATAAGGGTTATTCCCCAGCAGTTGGCTTTGAATGCCTTGGCCTTGACATGCAAGGAAGCCTTAGTGAGGCATTGTCTGGATCTGGTTGGTCCAGGTGTGTGTGTCCATGTCTGTATACACAGGTGCATATATATGTGTGTGCATGTGTGCACATGCACATGTGTATATTGTGTCTCTGTGTGCATGTCTGTGTGTGTGCACATACATGTGTGTTTATGTCTCTGTGCCTATACACATGTCTCTGTGTGTGCCTGTATTTGTGTGTCTGTGTGTGCATATCTGTTCGTGTGCGTGCATGTCTCTCTGCATTTGTGCGTGCGTGTGTACATGCATGTCTTGGTTGTTTGTCGAGGAGGGAAGACCTGACAGAGCACAGTAACAGTGTCCATGGGCTAGGCCTGGACCGTGTGTGAGGGAGACAAGCCAGCTGAGCATGAGCAGCGAGCGGGTGGCATGGGTGCATTTGTTTTCTGCACCAGTGATTATGGCTCTGCTGTGACTAGCCACCTGCAACACCTGTGCCTGTGGCTTCCTTGCCTACCAGCCTCTCCCTCCTTGTGGCAAAAATATTTTATTATAAGGGCTGTCAGTCTTCATCCTGGCCTCTGCTGCTGTCTGGAGATAATTATGTGACTATTTTTTTACCCCTGGTTCGGTGTTGGAGTTGTACTGTATTCCTTTTTTATCTTCTCTGTTTTTAAATCTGTCTGTCTCTCTGTCTGTTTGTCCATCTATCTGTCTCTCTACCTATCTATTTTTGAAATAGTTTCTCCATGTAGAGCAGGCTTGCCTGGAACTCACAAAGACCCTCCTGCCTCTGCCTCCCGAGTGCTGGGATTAAATGTGTGCACACCACACCCATATCAATTCATTTTTTAAAGGTTTATTTGATTTTTATTTGTGTGAATGCATGTGTTGGAGGTGGGGCTTGTGCACATGCATGCTGATGACTGCAGAGAGCAGAAAAAGTGTCAGATCCCCAGGGTCTGGCTTTAGAGGTGGTTGTGAGCTGCTGGATGTGGGGGCTGGAAAATAAAGCCAGGTCCTTCGCAAGGGCAGCAAGCGCTCTTACCCACAGTCATCTCTCCATCCCTAATTCATTTTTTAACTGACAAAAAATAACCACGTGTATTTATGAGGTGTGAGTTGATGTTTCAGATATATGTAGCTTTTAATCATTACAGCAGGATATCTGATTTTTCTGTCATCTCAGACAGTCCTGTCTATCAATGCACAATCATCCTTGTAGTGAATGTAACGAAGATCCCTTCGTGTGCGTGAAAGAGATAGATGATAGATAGATAGATAGATAGATAGATAGATAGATAGATGATTGATATATAGATAATAGATGATAGATAGATTGATTGCTTGATAGATAGATGATTGATATATAGATAATAGATAGATAGATAGATAGATAGATAGATAGATAGATAGATAGATAGATGATAGAAAATAGATAGATGATAGATATATCATCACCTCTATATTCTGTGTGTCTTTATTATCTGTCATCTATGCTATGAACTACTTATCACCTGCATGCCTCACATATTGTGACTCAGTGTATCTGTCTGTTATGTACGATCTGTGGGTCCATCGCCCACAGATACACTGTCCCAGGGCTGTCTGAGACATCTAGTCCCCATGGACGACATTTCTTTCCCTTCTAAGTATTCCACCAAGCTGTTAAGGATGGTCTGAAACCCAAATTAGGACAATCATAAAATTCAAGAAATCAGTCACAGGAACGTTAATACAGAGTACACAACAAATGTGTCCATGCGCACGCGTATGGTGGGGGCGGGACCGTGGTGTCATCTCTCAGGTAAGGTCTGTCTTTTTAAATTTTATTTATTTATTTAGAGACACAGCCTCTTGCTGGCATTGGGCTCACCAAGCAGATGCCAAGGAGCCCACACGTCTCTGTTGGCATGCTCAGTGTTTCTGTGTCACTGGGGATGGAGGCCAGGTCCTCACACGGTGCCACAGGCACTGTATTGATTGAGCTCCACTCCAGCCCCACAGTCACGGTGTCCCCATGGTCAGCACATTCTTTATAGCTCCTCCCTCTCTTGACCCTGACCCAGGATCATGTCTGGCGCGGGGCTGAATGAGTGACAGCGTGACCCAGACTCCTCACGCGTGACCCAGACTCCTCACACGTGACCCAGACTCCTCACGCATGACCCAGACTCCTCACACGTGGCCCAGACTCCTCACGCATGACCCAGACTCCTCACGCGTGGCCCAGACTCCTCACACGTGACCCAGACTCCTCACACGTGACCCAGACTCCTCACACATGACTCAGACTCCTCACATTTGGCCCAGACTCCTTACACGTGATCCAGATTCCTCACGCGTGACCCAGACTCCTCACACGTGATCCAGACTTCTCACACGTGACCCAGACTCCTCACACGTGGCAGACAAGAAGGACGGGAGAGGAGCAGAAGCTGTGGTAATCCTCAAGGCTGTTCCATTGAATTTTTTTTTGCCAGCCAGGCTCCACCTTCCAAAGATGACCCAAACTCCCAAATCAACTAGGTGCTGTGTGTGGGAGACATGACACACTCAAAACCACGCAGTCCTAAAAAGGTCTTCAATTTCTTAGTCCCTTCGTTGCTACGACGAAGCTCCACAGGCTGGGCTCAACAGTAAGAAATGGCCAGTCAATTTCCTAGGCATAGGAACCACACCCAGGGCCCCACCCGACTGCTGTTCACAAACTCGGGCAGCGCTTCTGCTTCCGCCAAAGCTCACTGGGCAGAGAGCTTGAGGCTCAGCAGTAGATGGAGTTCTTTGAGCTCAGCGGGCAGAATGTGTGCAGCTCAGTGGGCAGATGGTTTAGTTGGCAGAGCATTGTCTGACATGCACGAAGGCCTGGATTCCATCCCAGCACCGTCTGGACCAGGTGTGGTGGTGCACACCTGGGAGGTGGAGGCAGGAGGATCAGGACTTCACAGTTATACTTGGATACATAGTGAGATTGAAGCTAGCCTGGGCTACATGAGATGTCTCAGAATAAATAAATAAGTGGGGTGGGGAGAATGGGCTGGGGAGGTGGCTAAGATGTTAAGAGCACATGCTTCTCTTGCAGAGGACCAGGGTTTGGGCCCTGTATTTTGCAGCTTACAACTGTTGGATTAGGGTTAGGGTTAGGTTAATTCTAGTTCCAGGAGATCTGACCCCCTCTCTGGCCTCTGTAGCCACCAGGAAAGAGTGTGGGGCACATAAATTCACTCAGGCAAAACATACACACATACACACATCAGATAAATAAACAAAACCCAAACCAGTCGGGCAGTGGTGGCACTCGAAAGGCAGAGGCAGGTGGATCTCTGTGAGTTTTTGAGGCCAGCCTTGGCTAGAGAATGAGTTCCAGGACATCAAGGGCTACAACAGAGAAACTCTGTACAAAAACCCCAAACCAGCAGAGCCCAGTAGACGGTCAAAACCTGTGTTGAGCATGTTGGAGCCTTGTTTTCGGGACATTGCTCCCTAAGTGACACGGTCTGGCGACTGTGTGTGTCCACATCAAGAGCACAGTGTGGATGAACTGTGAGCTCAGGCTCTCCACAGATACTAAACTGTTTCACAGAGGGGCTCCAGCAGCCAGACTCCAGGTCTCCTGGTGTCCTGTGGGCACTGCAGGGTGGAGGCTGGAAGCCAATGATCTGTGCTGGCAATGGTTGAATTACGGTGAGGGTCTTTCCCACTCCATATTAACTGACATTCCATAGACATCATTTGTTGTTGTTGTTTTGTTTTCTTCTGTTTGCTTATTCAAGGCAGGGTTTCTCTGTAGCTTTGGAGTCTGTCCTGGAACTCACTCTGTAGACCAGGTTGGCCCCGAACTCAAGAGATCCACCTGCCTCTGCCTCCCAATGCTGGGATTAAAAGCATGCACCACCACGGCCTGGCCTCGTAGACATCTTATATAGAGGTAAAAACAGAAGAGTCTCTGGGTCTGTATTTATTTATTTAGTGTGAGCCGCCATCTTTAATGTGGGGATGTATACATTCTTGGACTGTGCCCTTTCAGGTCTTTATTGCTAGAAATTCAAAATGATGGTGATCAGTCCAGTTTGGGAGGGGTGTGCATGTGTGTGTATGCATGCATGCATGGTTGTGTGAGAGCACGTGTTTGTGAGTTCACATGTGTGTATGAACGTGTGTGTGTGTGTGTGTGTGTGTGTGACAAATCCACTCATCAACATTAGCGGATCAGCCCCTGGAAGCCGAGGTGGCTCCATGGGGCAATGCTTGCCCAGATATGAAGAGCAGTGTTCGAGTCCCTAGAGCCACACACATGCCCGTGAGCATGGAGCCTGCCTGTGATTCCCAGCAAATTGTGTAAGCTGGCTAACAAGACCAGCCACACAGCCACGCTGGTGAGCTCTGGCCTTGACTGACAGACGTGTCTCGGAGAATAAGGTGGCTGAGACACTGAGGATGATGTCTGCCATCAGTCTTGAGTTCCCTCATGCCGGCCCGCACACGTGCACACCAGACACACATGAAATACAGAAGGAAGAATAGAATTAAAGAAGTATGGTTTACCAGGCATGACGGTGCATGCCTGTTATCCCAGCACTTGGGAAGTCAAGATAACAGGTTGGTGTGCTCTGGGCCAGCCTGGGCTACAGTGCAAAACATTGTCTCAAACACAAAGAAGCAAGAGCATCATTCCATTATGGGTACATTCCATCTAGGGGTGTACCCTAGAGTTCCCTATCAAACCCAGGTCCCACGACTGGCAGCATAAGACGCAGTGGGGGCAAAAACTGGCATTAGTCAGCCTGTGTGGCGCTCTACATGTTGAGCAGGGCATTGGTGGTATATGCCTTTGATCCCAGCACTCAGGAGGCAGAGGCAGGCAGATCTCTGTGAGTTCGAGGCGAGCCTGGTTTACAGAGCAAGTTACAGGACAGCTAGGATTGTTACACAGAGAAACCCTGTCTCAAAAAACATGAGACAGACTCTCATGTAGACCAGGCTGTCCTGGAACTCAGTACATAGTTAAGGATGACCTTGAGCTCACAATCCTCCTGCCTCCACTTCCCCAGTGCTGGGATGACAAAGTGTGTCACCATGCTGGACTGAGACCCCCTAAGCCTGGAGAGTGGCCTGTGCAGGGCTCGCCAGATGCGTGTGAAGGGGTCTGAGCTGGAGGCTCCCTGAGAGAAGCTGCACGCACAGTCCGTGCGCGTCCTCTTCACAGGGCGGTCACGGTGCTGTGCTGCCCCTTGCCCCACAGGTACGGTCTGTCAGAGGCAGAGCTGAAGGACGTGCTGTCTTTGGATGATGAGGTCCTGCAGGCCGTGTACCAGGACTGGACACCACCCAGCAAGGAGCTCCTACGCTTTCCGCCGCTGCTGTGGGTGCGGCTCCGCCGGGACCTGGGACACTGCTTGACCAGGAGGCCCGTGGATGGTTGCACGCTGTTGGCCATCGCACACAGGTAGGCCTTCGGAGGGGACACTGCCTTCGTGGAGCCCTGAGAGCAAAGGCTCCCAGTCAAATCCTTGACTCCCATTCTGGGGTAGTCAAACAATCCAGCACACACCAGTCCCAGGGTAAACGCTACACACCTAATCTGTCTGTTTTGTGATGGTGTGAATGTTGCATGATGTGCATGGGATTCTAGGCAGGGGCTCCCCCCCTTAACCACTGTCCTGGTGTCTCTCTCTCTCTCTCTCTCTCTCTCTCTCTCTCTCTCTCTCTCTGTGTGTGTGTGTGTGTGTGTGCGTGCATGCATTTGTCTGTGGTACCCTCACGTGTGTATGTAGTTATGAAGGACAGATGTTGATCTCAGGGTTGAGCTCCGTAACTCTTCACCCAGTATTTGGAGAGAGGGTCTCTCTGTTCAGCCACAATGGCTGCACAGCAAGCCTGCCTTCTAGACTCCTCTCCCTTTTGCTCCCTCTCAAGCACTGTGATTGCCAGTACTTCCCCCCTCACCAGGCTTTTGCATGTGTGCTGGGGATTTGAACTCGGATCCTCATGCTTACACAATACACACTTTGTCCACAAAGCCATCTTCCTGGCCTCTTTTCACTTTCTGATTTGCCATGATGTCTTGTTAAGGTACCTCAGGTTGGTCTGGAGCTCTCAATTCAGTCCAGCCACACATGACTTCAACCTGTGACCCCTGCCTCTGAGTAGCTACCATGACAGTCTTGCATCACCCACCACACCAGAGCAAAGGTCATTTTTACATTATTTATTTATTATTTCTGTGGGCAGGTAGGTGTGGGTGTGTGCTGTGGTGTCTCTGGAGGTCAGAGGACTTGTGGGAGCGAATTCTCGCCTTCTGCAATGTATGACGGGGATCGAACTCCAGTCATGAGGCTCAGCACCAAGCACCTCTAGCCACTGAGCCATCTCATTACCTTCAAAAGCAAAACTTGTTTGTTTGTTTGTTTTTCAAAACAGGGTTTCTCTTTGTAGCTTTGGTGCCTGTCCTGAAACTAGCTCTTGTAGACCAGGCTGGCCCCTGCCTCCTGAGTGCTGGATTAAAGGTGTGCACCACCACCACCTGAGCAAAAAAGCAAAACTGTTTAAGAGAGAAAGAGAAGTAAAAGAGAAGGGCTGTTTTAGAGAGCAGCGTTGAGTGAAAACAGGATGCGGAGTGGACAGCTTCTGCACTTGTGCTGTCCCCTGAGCCATCAGCCTGTGCCCTTTCTCCACAGACAGCTGTCCAAGGTGATCCAGGTTCGATACCTGTCTGGGCCTGAGAGATCCAAGAGACACGGCGTGCTAGCTGAATTCTTCTCTGGAGCCTGGAGCCAAGGCACCAAGAAACTCGTCACCCTGCCCCTCGTGGGGAAGCCCATTAACCTGGACCGCAAGGTGAGGCCACCCATTCCCAAAGCCACACCCTGGCGTGACTGTCCTTTTCCTTCTCCCCCGTTCTCAACGCCCTCCGAACCCACAGCATCGAGGGCCTCCTTCAGCCCCAGGATGTATTTCTGGGTGCAGGGCTCAGTAGACATGGGTGTGTATGTGCTCTTTTGCACAAAGTGTTTATGTGGTGTAGCCTTCTTAGCATTGATGAGGATGAAAGCAAAATATCAGTCAGTGGTGGGACTTGTTGAAGATGGTCCACATTCTGCTGGGTTAGCTGCTCAGCTGGGAGGGTGCAGCCTCCCTGCAACCCACGGGCGTCTTCTTGGCTGCACCTGAGGACGACAGAGCTGTGTGTCTTCTTTACATGAAGACTTGTATCTTGGCTGAATATTCGAACCCACATAAAAAGCCAGGAGAGATAGTTCGATGGTTAAGAGCACTGGCTGTAGCCCAGCGGTGGTGGTGCACACCTTTAATCCCAGCTCTAAGGAGGCAGAGGCAGGCAGATCTCTGAGTTCCAGGCCAGCCTGTGAGTTCCAGGACAGGGCCACACAGAGAAACCCTGTCTCAAAACACCAAAAGAATAAAGAAAAAGAAAAAAAAATAATCACTGGATGGTTTCAGCTCCCAGCACCTGCATGGCTGCTCACACCTGTAACTCAGTTCCAGGGAATCCAATACCCCATTCTGGTCTCTGTGAACCTTGTTCCCATGTAGTACATAGGCACACATGTAGGCAAAACACCCATATACATAAAATAAAATAAACCTTTCTTAAAAAGGCATACACAGCCACGCATGGTGGGATTCAAACCTTAACCCAGCACTCCGAGGCAGAGGCAGGAGGGTCTGTGTGAGTGTGAGGCCGACCTGGTCTACAGAGCGAGTTCCAGGATGGCCAGGGCTGATTAGTAATCCTATGTCTCAAACAAAGCAAAAGTCCATGGTGGGGAGTTCAGGGGCTCTTTTGGGCTAGATGGCCAGTCTGCCTCCCGCAGCTGGTGTGGTGTAGTGTGAACCTGTCTCAAAAAGTCACATGGAACAAATTGAGGATGAGTTGTGACATCTACCTCTGCACTATGCATTCTTGTGTGCACACACACACATGGGCACACACACACAGGCACACACTCAGGTGTACACACACACAGGCACACACACTCGGGTACAAATACTCAGGAGTACACACACGGGTGCACACACATGGGCACACACACTGGCGCACACACACAGGGAACACACTCAGGGACACACACATGGGCACGCACATGAGCACACACACACACACATGGGCACACACACGAACACACACACAGGCACACACACATGGGCACACACACTGGCACACACACACAGGGGACACACTCAGGGACACACACACGGGCACGCACATGAGCACACACACACATGGGCGCACACACGAGCACACACACAGGCACACACACATGGGCACACACACTGGCGCACACAGGGAACACACTTAGGGACACACACGGGCACACACAAGGGCACACATGCACAGGCACACACGGGCACACACTCAGGGACACACACACATGGACACACAGGGAACACACTCAGGGACACACACACGAACACACTCGGGGGCACACACTCAGGGGTACACACTCAGGGGCACACACACATGGGCACATGCACATGGGCACACATGGGCACACACACAGGGAACACAATTGGGCACACACACACGAACGCGCGCGCGCACACACACACACACACACGGGTATGTGCAATTACTGGGGAGCACACTGAAGAGAACAAAGAGCAACACACCCACACTCCCGTCAGCGTTGCATCATTCTGCCTGCCCCTTTCCCTCCTGTGCCTTGGTGTCCATAACCTGGATGCTGTCTGCGCATGCTTATGGCTTGAGGCTCAGCTCAGCCACCTCTCCACCTTTGAGCAGCATCCAGGCCCTCCTCTCTGCTCTCCCAGTCCTTGATCTGCTCTGCATCATCTTGTCTTCACAAGGAACCATCCTAGAATGCAGTCTGGCCGCGCCCCTCCCCAACATCCCCCATAGCTCCCCAGTGCCTACATCTCCAGCCTGCCCACCAGTCCTTTCCCATCCACTGCTCCTGTCTGAGTCTCCTCACCTGCCTGTCACTGGCCCTTCCTAAACTCACCGTGCTCGGCCTCTGGGTCTCGGTCTATGCTATTGGGTATTGGTTTTGGTTTTGGAGATGGGGCCACACCTTGCTGTCTAAGTTGGCCTAGAACTCCCTCAGGCTCACAAAATCCTCCTGTCTCCGCCTCTTGAGTATCAGTGACTGCAGGTAAGCAACATAGGGCCTGGCAATGCCACTGCTCTGACGTATTTTACCAGACGCCTACTCATCCCCCGAGCCCCAGCTCCAATGCCCACTTTCAGCAGCAAGGGTCCATTTCCCTGCCATGCCTCATCCTTGAAATGCTCAAGTCCCAGGTCCCTCCATCTGGGAAGTGGTGGGTATCTCTGCTTGCCACAATATCCCTGTCCCCTCTAGCATAGACTGCCAGCTTGGCCAATGTTTGTGGAGTGACTTGAATTCTAGCCCAAGCTGATGCCCCTTCCCACCTCCACCAGGTGGCCCCACAGCCGCTGTGGTTCTCAGGCACAGTGGCCAACCAGAGGAAGCTGACAGAACTGCCCTTCCATCTGCTGCATGCGGGTCGCATGGAGGAGCTGAAGCAGGAGGTGCTGGGTAAGGGTTGCCATGACAGAGACCACGAGGACCTTAGCCTCCCTAGCACACCCACCCACCCACCCATCCATCCATCCACCCATCCATCCATCCACCCATCCATCCACCCACCCACCCACCCATCCATCCACCCACCCATCCATCCATCCATCCATCCATCCATCCATCCATCCATCCATCCACCTAACCATCCATCCACCTAACCATCCATCCACATCTGTGATCTCAATGGACAGATGGATGTGTTGGAGGGAAGCTGCTTGTTGGTTCCTGGCCACCCAGCTAGCTTAGACCCAAAATAATCACACAGAAACTATATTAATTAAATCACTGCTTGGCCCTTAGCTCTAGCTTCTTATTGGCTAACTCTTACATATTAATTTAACCTATTTTTATTAATCCATGTATTGCCAAGTTGTTGTGGCTTACTGGGTAAAGTTCACAAGTTCACAGCGTCTATCTCCGGCAGTTCCATGGCTTTTCTCTGACCCTGCCCTTCTTTCTCCCAGAATTCAGCTGAGTTTTCCCTGCCTAGCTCTGTTCCCCTATAGCTATGCTATAGGCCCAAAGAAGTTCCTTTGTTTATCAATGGTAGTCAAGCATGCAGAGGGAAATCCCACGTCATGGATGAATAGATGAATGGACAGAAAGATGGATGAATGAATGAGTGGTTGAGAGATAGGAAGTGGAAGAATGGATGAATGGAAGTTGGTACTGAGGGGAAAACTACAGAGTTAAACCAGTAAAGGTATGGCAGATAAATGAATGGATAAATAAATGGCCATACAGGTAGATAATTATAGATACAGATGGATAGATGGATGGATGGATTAGATGGATAGATAGGTAGGTAGATGGGATAATAGATGGTGTGTATGTATTTATGAATAGATGGATGAATGTGTATGTTGGTAGACAGATGAGTGCATGAATAGGTAGACAAGTAGAAGAATGGATGGATTGGTGCATGGATGGATAGATGGTTAGGTGGGTGGCTGGTGGCTAGATGTCTACATAGCTATTTCATCCACTTATTTTCCCACCCACCTGTGATTTTCAAAGGACATTCTTCCTCTAGGAGACACTTGGCAAATCCTGGAGACATTTTTGAGTCATACTTGTAGGTAGAGGTATCATCACCTTCTGGTATGGAGGCCATGTTCTATCAACCACAGCTCAGTGCCCTCCACAGAACAGCCTCAGTGCCAGACTTCAGAGTTCCAGAACCCCAGGAGGAAAGGGCAGCCATCCTCCCACCCTCAGAATGAGCCAGCAGAAAGCAAGGGCTCCGACTTTCCTCACTCTTTGTCCTCCACAGGGAACATGAGCTGGATCTCCTGTAGGGGCATCTCTGGGGGCATTGAGGACCTGCTGGATGACTTTGACATGTGTGCCCCTCACATGAACTCTCCTGAGGTTGATCTGGTCAGAGAAGCCCTCCAGCTGTGCCGCCCTGCTGTGGAGCTCCGCGGCATGGGTGAGTGCCCTGGCCCGATAAGAGGGTATGCTCTGTGCTGCTCTCCAGAAACCTCAGAAACCCATTCTTCCCAGGGGACGGCGAATTGATTTTTCAGCAACGTACACCTTCATTTATGAACCATTGACTCATCTGCTCATCCTTCTATTCATCCACCTGTCTATCCATTTACCCATCTACCTACCAGTCCCTACCTTCCATTCATTCATCATTCACCCCCCCCGCCCAGCCTTCCACCCGTCTGTATGTCTCTATCAACCCATCCATCCATTTGTCCACCCACCCACCCACCAACCCTCTCCCCCACATATCCACCCCATCCATCTGCCCACCCGTCCATCTATCCACCCACCCATCCATCCACCCACCCACCCACCTACCCATCTGTATGTGTCTCTCTCTGTCCACCTACTGTGTCACTTTCTTGTTTAATCCCATGACATCTCCTTCAGTACTAACTTATAGAATTTGGAATGCAGTAGGAAGGGAAGAGAGAGAGAGAGAGAGAGAGAGAGAGAGAGAGAGAGAGACAGACAGACAGACAGACAGACAGACAGAGAGATGCAGGGGGAGAAAAAGAAGAGAGAGACAGAAAGCTGCCTCCTCAGAGAAAGTGGCAGAAAGGAAGAGAGCGGGAAGAGGCAGGCTTCTCTCTTAAAGGGACAGGGTACTGTCTGCCATGCATGCAGGCATGATACAGGGTGCAGGGTGTCACACACTGTGCCTAGTTCCCAAGGGGCAGGGCCAAGATGTGTCTTGATGCTAACATTCCTCCCTTCTTTTCTATTAAAAAGGTGAGGAGTTAGGTGTGGTAGGTTAAGGGAACAAGGGCATTGAGTTCTCGAGTCTGCTTCCTGCTGACCTAGGGTGTATCCACCATCTTTAAGAAAGCTGGGGTGCTGCCACATCCAGGGTTGTTTCACTGCTGTCCAGGCTCTGAGGAACTGTCCAGTGTCTCTTAGACATGGTGAGTGCTGGCAGAGCAGAGGACAAGGTTAAGTTTAGAGAATTTTTTTCCTTTAGGTCCTGGTGATTGAGTGGGAGGGTGTCAGGACTGGGGAAAAGTGGGGAGGCTTGGACTCTTAGGGTCTAGTAGTTGAGGGAGGGGTACATCTGACTTGTTTGAGGCAAATCTTCCAAGTCGACCGCTGGAACTTACAAGAGTTCTTTGAGTTTGTGAAAACCTAAGTTTTAGACACATTAGCATTTCCACTGTTTATAATCTGCACTGAAATTTGTTTTATAGAAAGGGCAGTGTACTCGTATCAGAAATGACGGTGACAATGTTTGGTTTGGATTTGGAGACAGGGTTTTTCTGTAGCTTTGGGGCCTGTCCTGGAACTAGCTCTTGTAGACCAGTCTGGCCGTGAACTCACAGAGATCTGCTTGCCGCTAGAATGCTGGGATTAAAGGTGTGTGCCACCATCGCTCAGCAACAAAGTTTTTTGTTTATAGTTGGAAGACAACCAAAGAGAATTTAAAATCCCGAGCTTGCAGCCGTGATCATGGTAGCACTCTGTCAGAGACAGACAAATGGCTTTTTCTAATTGTATTGATTAGTATTAAGACTGTGGACCCTTGGGGTCCTCATATAACAGTAGCATAATGAGAGAGGGATCCGGAGCGTGGTTTGTTTTTTTGTTTGTTTGTTTGTTTTTTGGTTTTTTTTTTTTTTTGGTTTTTTTTCGAGACAGGGTTTCTCTGTAGCTTTGGAGCCTGTCCTGGAACTAGCTCTGTAGACCAGGCTGGTCTCGAACTCACAGAGATCCGCCTGCCTCTGCCTCCCGAATGCTGGGATTAAGGGCGTGCGTCACCATCGCCTGGCCGGAGCGTGTTTTTTTCTTTCCAGTGCCTCACACCGCTTGCCTTTGTCATCACCTAAGCTTCTTATCCTCAGACTTCATAACTTGCATTACACACCTTAGGTCCCTTTCTCATACTCTGGAACATTCTTATCCTCAGACTTCATAACTTGCATGAGGATCCCTTAAAACACCCTCTTAGACCCTAAAACATTCTTGGGTCCTCACATCTGAAGCTTTGCATTTGCTTAGCACTTAAAGCACCTGTTCCTCCCATGACCATGGCGTCACCTTGACATGTAGGGGAAATCTGTTGTGTGAGTTCATTTCTTACCTGGGCCTGGTATGAGGTAAACGGTGTCTAGACTTGACATTAGCTCTAGGAGAGTGAGGCCCGGGACCTGAATTTTACACGGAGAACTGAGAAGGCACTGGAAAAGCTACCAGTCGTCAAACTGCTTTAGAGATCCTGAGAAGGATAAATTTTACCTGAGTTAGTGATTTACCAGACTTATTTGATTGGCTGCCTAAACAGCCACCCCAGGGACCCCCCACGATGGTTGAGAGCAGGGCGCAGGGCAACCTCCATATTTCGGCTGGCAGCTCTCAGGGCCTGCCAGACTCCAGAAGATCTGTGGATTAGGAGTTTGTAGAAGACCAGCCCGCCTTGTCCTGGTCAACGAGGCAGTCGATTCCCCAGTGGCCTGTTGGCCACGGTCTGAAGAGGTTGCAGCGGCTGAGGTGAAAGGCAGGTTTGTCAGTGGCTAGCGCTGCTACTTGAGAAGCAAGCTCCAGGCGGAGGTTCTTCTGGACCCCGCCATCTTTGGAGGAACTAGGGGTTGCTTCCAGGAGCTAACCTTTCTCTCTGTAATGAAAAGCCTTTTAAATTAAACATTTAAATACCATATTCCCCAGATCTCAGCGTTTGAGGGCTGTCTGTTGGGTAGATAAAAATTATGACTTTAGTGACATTAGAGCAGGATCTGCGTGGAGAGCTGGGTCCACGCGGAGAGGCTGTGGAGGAGTACTTTACCCAGAATCCTCCAGCTGACTTTAACTTGGCAGGACAAAGAGGTAAAGAAGGAAATTTGCTGTGGAAGCTCAACAGTAAAAACTGACAGCAGCGAAGACCGGCTTGCAGGAATGCCCATTAGCTTTTGTTCATCTGAATAGATCTTTAGAACCTTACAGTTTGACCACCATGTAGAATGTATGTTAAAGCAGAACTGAATCAGACAGTATGTTGTAACAGATCTGACCACATTTTTATCATCATCTAAAAGCACATACTAGTTTAAAATATTTGAGACCTGTTATTTTTTTGTCTAGAAGGAGATACAATGAACAGACTTTGTTGGGACTCCTTAAAACAGTTTTCTTTAACAGTGAGAACATGGACACATACACACGGTTGAACTTAAGTTGCACACACACATCCAAAGTTAAAACTAGCTTATATTCACACATAAAGTGAAATGAAAAGTGAGCGAGAGGAAGCCGGCCTTTTCCTCTCTGACTCACACGTTGTAGCAAGCAAACAGGGCTTTTAAAGAGAGAGAGAAGATAGACATTTGCAAGTCTTTGGAACAAAGAAAACTGGAGAATCAAAGCTGCCAGTGAACAAGAAAGCAGACTCATTGCAGGTGGGAGAGAACCGATCTGCTGTAGGTGGGGTCCCTGCATGAAACGAACACCTTAGCGGGCCCTGCCAAAGCACACCATCACGCAAACACGTCAATGTAACCGAGTCGGTGTAAGGGTAAAGTTTAAAAGCACAGGTTCCCAAGGGACAGGACCAAGGTGTGCCTCTGTGCTAACACTGTCCATGTGAGCTGTTCACTGTAGTCTTGGGGCTCACAGGGGAGGAACAAAGGAAAGCGGAGCTGCCCTGGTGCACAGTCTGGTTGATCATTGTCTCAGATCCGTTCTGCGGGATCCTGTTGGCACCAGGGCAGCTAAACGCCGCAGGGCACTGTGTTCTTGCAATTTGAGATAACCCAGGGAGTTGGTGACCCAAAGCAAAAATAGATCAGAAGAGTAAAAATGGAGTTGGAGGTGCAGGCCTGTCATCCCAACCTCAGGAAGTAGAGGAAGAAAATCGGGAGTTCAAGGTCAGCCTCAGCTGTGACCCTGTGCCAAAAGGGAAAAAAAAAAATAAGAAGAGAAAGAGAAGGAGAAGAAGAGGAAGAGGAAGATGTAGGTCCTGGGACATGGCAGAGCTAGAACAGTGTTGCCACATAATCCTGAGGACCTGAGTTCAGAGCCCTAGCCCCACTTCAAAGCTCAGCGGAGCAGCAAGCACAAGAGTTAGGGTTCAGTCAGGCAGACTCCGGCCTGACTGGTTATGTGAGCTCAGGTTCAGTGAGAGATCTTACCTAAAAAGTAGAGTGGAGAGCCACCTCCGTGGCTCAGCAGAGTGGAGAGCCACCTCCGTGGCCCGGCAGATAAAGACACGTGCTGCCAATGCTGCCAACCCGAGTTCAGTCCTGCGAACCACGTGCTTGGAGGAGTAAGGGGATTCCCACAGGTCCTCTGACCCCCACAGTGCACCATCTGTGTACGTGCAAACACACACAAACAGAGTAAGTGAAATGAAATTTAAAGAGTTAAACTGTCAAACAATTCAAAGAAAAGGTGGGTGGTTTTTGTTTTTGATTTTTCAAGTCAAGGTCTTTCTGTGTAGCCCTGGCTGTCCTGGAACTCACCAGGCTGGCCTCAGACTCAGAGATCTGCTCCCTCTGCCTCTGTCATGCTGGGATTTAAAAAGATTCAGTTTTTGAAAGTATTTGATTTTAGAGTTTGGCAAGCCACACCTCTGGGTGTGTCCTATGGGTGTGTCCAGGGGGTATCCTTGACTGTTGTGTGTATGATGTGTGTGTGGTATATGTATCTGATGTGTTTGATGTGATATGTGTATCTGATGTATCTGAAATGTATGTCTGATGTGTGGGGTGTGTCTGATGGGTGTGGATGTGTCTGATGGGCGTGTGGGGTGTGTCTGATGGGTGTGTGGGGTGTCTGGTGGGTGTATGGGATGTGTCTGATGGGTGTGTGGGGTGTGTCTGATGGGTGTGTGGGGTGTCTGGTGGGTGTGGGGTGTCTGATGAATGTGTGGGGTGTCTTCGATGGCCATGGAGTTCCAGGGATCCACTTGTCTCTGTCTCCCCAGTTATGGTGCAAACCAGCCGGCAGGGCTTTTGCAGGGTGCTGGAGTCAAACTTAAACTCCGCCAGTCAGCACTGCCACCTGCTTAGACAATGTGCCATCAGGCTCTCTCCATAGCTGTGGAACCATCATCGCCCTCCTTCCTTGCTATGGCTGGTCCCTATGCCACCCTCGTTCCCCATTGCCCTCCCTAAGTCCTGGTTCCTCCTCTTGGGGCTGCTTCCTGGATTTAAGAACCTGAAGGATCTACATGCTTCCTGAAAATTGTTTGAGGTAGAGTCTTATGAGTCCCAGGCCCAGGGCTTTGTGCACGCTGAGGGAGCGCTCTACCTGCTGAACCACCCCAACACACACACACACACAGAGAGAGAGAGAGAGAGAGAGAGAGAGAGAGAGAGAGAGAGAGAGAGAGAGAGAGAGAGAGAGAGAGAGAGAGAGAGGCATGTACACACGCACATAACCAGCAAGAGCTTTGCAAAAGCACCTTCCTTTACAACCCCTGGTTCCCCCAGCAGAAGGTGGGAGGTGGTGAGAAATATCACCACCAGAGGGCGCCACGGCATCGTGTGTTCCCAGAGCATTTCCATCGCTGCTCAGAGATGCCCTGTACAGGATTCTGTAACCGCTACCCCAGGCACCAGTGTGGTTTTCATGAAGTAGTTTCTGAGCCTCCATTTGTTTGTTTGTTTGTTTGTTTGTTTGTTTATTTATGATTTCTGTCTCTTTCCCACCGCCGCCTCCCCTTCCCCTCCCCCTTCCCCAGTCAAGTCCCCCTTCCTCGTCAGCCCAAAGAGCAATCAGGTTTCCCTGCCCTGTGGGAAGTCCAAGGACCACCCACCTCCATCCAGATCTAGTAAGGTGAGCATCCAAACTGCCTAGGCTCCCACAAAGCCAATACGTGCAGTAGGATCAAAAACCCATTGCCATTGTTCTTGAGGTCTCAGTAGTCCTCCTTGTCCGCTATGTTCAGCGAGACCGTTTTTTATCCCGGGCTTTTTCAGACCCAGGCCAGCTGGCCTTGGTGAGTTCCCGATAGAACATCCCCATTGTCTCAGTGTGTGGGTGCACCCCTCGCGGTCCTGAGTTCCTTGCTCATGCTCTCTCTCCTTCTGCTCCTGATTTGGACCTTGAGATTTCAGTCCGGTGCTCCAATGTGGGTCTCTTGTCTCTGTCTCCTTTCATCGCCTGATGAAGGTTAATATTCAGGAGGATGCCTATATGTTTTTCTTTGGGTTCTCCTTCTTATTTAGCTTCTCTAAGAACCCGAATTATAGGCTCAATGTCCTTTATTTATGGCTAGAAACTAAATATGAGTGAGTACATCCCATGTTCCTCTTTTTGGGTCTGGCTTACCTCACTCAGGATAGTGTTTTCTATTTCCATCCATTTGCCTGCAAACTTCAAGAAGTCCTTGTTTTTTACCACTGAGTAGTACTCTAATATGTATATATTCCATACTTTCTTCATCCATTCTTCTATTGAAGGGCATCTAGGTTGTTTCCAGGTTCTGGCTATTACAAACAATGCTGCTATGAACATAGTAGAGCATATACTTTTGTTGATGATAAGGCCTCTCTTGGGTATATTCCCAAGAGTGGTATTGCTGGGTCCAGGGGTAGGTTGATCCCGAATTTCCTGAGAAACCTCCACACTGCTTTCCAAAGTGGTTGCACAAGTTTGCATTCCCACCAGCAATGGATGAGAGTACCCCTTTCTCCACAACCTCTCCAGCAAAGGCTATCATTGGTGTTTTTGATTTTAGCCATTCTGACAGGTGTAAGATGGTATCTTAAAGTTGTCTTGATTTGCATTTCCCTGATCGCTAAGGAAGTTGAGCATGACCTTAGGTGTCTTTTGGCCATTTGAACTTCTTCTGTTGAGAGATCTCTGTTCAGCTCAGTGCCTCATTTTATAATTGGGTTGATTAGCCTTTTACGGTCTAGTTTCTTGAGTTCTTTATATATTTTGGAGATCAGACCTTTGTCAGTTGTGGGGTTGGTGAAGATCTTCTCCCAGTCAGTGGGTTGCCTTTCTGTCTTAGCAACAGTGTCCTTTGCTTTACAGAAGCTTCTCAGTCTCAGGAGGTCCCATTTATTCAATGAGGCCCTTACTGTCTGTGCTGCTGGGGTTATATGTAGGAAGTGGTCTCCTGTGCCCACGTGTTGTAGAGTACTTCCCACTTTCTCTTCTATCAGGTTCAGTGTGTTCGGACTGATATTGAGGTCTTTAATCCACTTGGACTTGAGTTTTGTGCATGGTGATAGATATGGATCTATTTTCATTTTTGTACAGATTGAAATCCAGTTTTGCCAGCACAATTTGTTGAAGATGCTCTCTTTTTTCCATTGTATACTTTTAGCTCCTTTATCGAAAATCAGGTGCTCATAGGTTTGTGGGTTAAAGTCAGGGTCTTCTATTCGATTCCATTGGTCAACTTCTCTGTTTTTATGCCAATACCAAGCTGTTTTTAATACTGTAGCTCTGTAATAGAGTTTGAAGTCAGGGATCGTAATGCCTCCCGACATTCCTTTATTGTATAAGATTGTTTTGGCTATCCTGGGTTTTTTGTTTTTCCATATAAAGTTGATTATTGTCTTCTCCAGATCTGTGAAGAATTTTGATGGGATTTTGATGGGGATTGCATTGAATCTATAGATTGCTTTTGGTAGAATTGCCATTTTTACTATGTTGATCCTCCCAATCCAGAGCAAGGGAGATCCTTCCATTTTCTGGTGTCCTTTTCTATTTCTTTCTTCAAAGACATAAAGTTCTTGTCAAATAGATCTTTCACTTCCTTGGTCAGGGTTACCCCAAGATATTTTATGCTCTTTGTGGCTATCGTGAAAGGTGATGCTTCTCTGATTTCCCTCTCTGTTTCTTTATCCTTAGTGTATAGGAAGGCAACTGATTTTTTGGAGTTGATCTTGTATCCTGCCACATTACTAAAGGTGTTTATCAGCTGTAGGAGTTCTTTGGTAGAGTTTTTGGGGTCGCCTGAGCCTCCATTTTTATTTTTGTATGTGTGTACGGGTGTCCATGCTAGGTAGAGTAGTTGGATCCCTGTAGTTTGAGTTACAGGTGAGCCACCTGATTGTGGGTGCATGTTCAAAACCACTGAGAATTATCTCCAGCCCCCTCCTTTTCAAAAATGTTGTGTTTGCATGTGCCCTCGTGTGTGGGAAGTCAGAGAACAGCCTGAGGGGCTGGCTCTCCTGGGTCCAGGACTTGGAACTCAGGTCACATTATCCCTGCTAGTCTCTAACATCCGTCCTTATCCAGTCAGGGGCTAGCCAGCCGAGTGAACAGAAGTGCTCACGGGGTGTCTGTGCTGTGTTTACATCTGCAGCCAGGCAGATGACATGCTTGTCCCTGGCAAGCTAAAGTGTGGGGCAGGGGGCTGAGGACAGCCAAATGGGTTCAAGACACAAGGTCAAACAGCAGTCTAGGCGGTAGAACTGGACAGGAGTCAGGAATGGATTTGGCAGAGGTGGCGTAGCATTTGAAAACTGGACACAGTTCACCCATCTACTGAACCTCCTACTCTTCTCGTTGCTCTTTCATCTGTCTGTCTTCCCTCAACACTTTACCAATTCGCCCATCTACCCGTCAGTCTGCCCATTCACCTGTCAATCTGCCCATCCACCCGTCAATCCACCCATCCACCCGTCAATCCACCCATCCACCCGTCAATCTGCCCATCCACCCGTCAATCCGCCCATCCATCCATCAATCTGCCCATCCATCTGTCAGCCTCCCACCCTCACATCCGTCCATCTTCCCACCCTCCATCCACCTTTCCATCCATCTACCCACGCCCTCCCATCAGTCAGGCATCCTTCCTCACTCTACCCACTCACCCATGCACCTGGGTCTCAGCTATTTGGAGAGCTGCAGTGAGAGACTCTCTTGAGCCCAGAAGTCAAGACTGATCTGGGCAATAATGAAACAAGTTAGTTAATTAACTCATTGATGGAGAAGTGCCTCTGGAGAATGACTGGCTTGAGGAAGGGCTCAGGAAGTACGAAGCGCACCAGACAGAGGGAACATGGTCAGCGGAACCTGGAAGCTGGCTGCTATTCTGTGCTCAGAAGGCAGGGGGATGGAGGGACACAGAAAGTGAGGCAGAAGGGGTTTGAGGTCCTGGGGCTTCTCTTCTGCAGGCCTTGGGGTTCATGGGTGTGGCAAGGTTCAGCCAGGCGGTGATATACCCCTTTTTTATTACAGAGAATAGTGTCCTATACACTGAGCTCCTGGCCAGGCTCCTTTTCTTTGCTACGTCGTATCCAGCAATGATCGGGCAGCTGTGCCAACAAGCACAGAGCTGGTTCCGTGCCTGCCCACACCCAATGCTGGTGCCCTTGGCAGGATTTCTACAGCCACCTGGGGGAAGATTTCGAGCCACTCTCACTGGATGTCACAAAGGTGAGTGTCCCCAACATCACAAAAAAACACACCAGCTCACTGTATACCCAGGGGAGCAGATGCCAGATATTTGGGGCTGCTCTCTGGGGCTCCACTTTGCCAAACAGGAGGCCCCAAGGTACCATGGGGGCCTTCACTTGCTATCTCGTGCCGGCCTTCTCCATCCCTGGGGACTGTGGATGACTGCTGTAAATACTGCTAATGAGCCCGGAGCCGGCAGATGCTTCTGAGGTTCTGTCCCAGAGAGCTGCTGGCTAGAGTTCCACAAGCTGGAGGTCCATGCCAGGCAGTCTGCAAGTGTCGTGTGAGCTGACTACCCTGCCAGGGGGGAAGAGGGCTCAGGCTTGTCATCATGCTTCACGTACCCACTGTCTACACACCTGTGCACACTCAATCCACTCATCCCCCAACCCCCCCACCATTCTTCCATCCAGTATCCACCCTGCTACCTTCTATCTATCTATCTATCTATCTATCTATCTATCTATCTACCTATCTATCTATTTTTAAGATTTCTTTTCTTAGGCTGCGTGATGGTGGTGGCACACACCTTCAACCCAGCACTTGGGAGGCAGAGGCGGGCAGACGCTTTTCTTTTATAAAAATTGATCTGTGTGTGTGCATGTGTGCATGTGTGTTTGTATGTGTGCACGCATGCGTGTGTGTGTGTTACATATGTCTGGGGATTCCCACAGAGGCCAGAGGAGGCCATTGGAGCCCCTGGAGCTGTGACTCGCCTGATGTGGGTGCTGGGAACTAAACCCAGGGCCTCAGGAAGAGCAGGTAACACAGCGCTCTCTGAAGCCCCTGTGTCCCCCATCACCACTGCCCTCACCCCCACATTTCCCTCACCAGGATACCCCCACCCATGCTCGCTCCTCCCTCGGGCTGCTCATAGTCACTTACAACGCACCCTGTAACTCTGGCCTGAGTCGGCACACGTGGAGAGCCTCACCCTCCACTTCCCCGCAAGCCTCCTCCTTCTCAGCCTTTGTGAGACCCACAGGCAGTTGCAGTCCAGCAGGGCTCCAGGCTCCAGTTCCCATCATCCCCGTCCCCAGGCAGCTTCTCTCCACAATAGAGAATGAGAGGCACAGAGAGGAAATGACGCTGGTGACAGCGGCTGTGCTTGTTAGGAGGATCCAGGCGGAATGGGTGGATAGGAGCCCGCACGGCAGCTTCAACAGACAGCCCGTTTGTTAGCTGGAGCATCCCTAGGGTGGCAGGGACGAGGACTGCCGCTGCGGCCCTTACTGTCAGAGTAACATTCCTGTCAGTGAGGAGGGGGCTAGTGGGCCTCTGCCTATTCCGAGAGGCACCCCCAGAAGAACTCGTTTCTACGCTAATGTCATTGACCAGCACTAGGACTGCGGTGTGGTGAGGGATGTCTCCCTGTAGGATGACATCCCTACTCTTCTCCTCCAGGAGTCTTTCTAGCTGAGCTCTGATCTCTTCCCCTAAGGAAATGTCCTAGCAGATCTAGCCATTTCTTTTTCTGCTCTCTTCATCTCTGGCCCAAGATGTTTCTTCTGTTTTATTCTGCTAAAGGGGAAGCCTCTTTAGAAATGTAGCAATGTCCTCTGGCTTCAGTGAAAATTACCTTTTTCTGCTCAACTCCCAAGGGAGTTTCCCAGCAGATTTAACTGTTTCTTCTGTTTTTGTTTTTGTTTGGTTGGTTGGTTTTTGGTTTTTTTTGGCTCATCTCCCCCCCCCCCCAAGGAAATGTCTCAGCAAAGATTCTTCTGCTCCATGCCTGAGAAAGAAGATCTTCACCCAAAACTCTTTTAAGAAAGAAATTTATTTGGGAAGGAGTAGTCTGCCAGGGTGGTTCCTCTGCATATAGCTGAACAGGCAGAGGGACTTTTGTATAGGGCTTCTTAGGGGTAGAGTTTTCCCAGGGAAAAGATTTTCTGCTCAGAGAGTGATCTGTTTTCCTGCTCAGGGATTGGTTGGTTTCGTTGGTCAAGGGCAGAGTTGGCTCTGGTTTCAGGGCCAAACTGTATTTCTTTCACTGGTCCTTTTTTACCTTTTGGTTCTATTTTCAAGGCTAAGGCATATTTCTCTTACTGGCTCTGGTTCTATAGCCAAAGTGTGTTTCTTTGACTCTGATTTCAGGGCTAAAGTGTTTCTTTCACTAGCTCATGTTTCAGATCCAGGGTGTGTTCTTTCAGGCTTTGGGTTTAGGGTCAGTGTGCTAGATTTTGAGCTCAGGGATTGGTTGGTTTTTTTGCTCAAGGATTGGTTGGTTTCATGTTTAGTTGGTCAGAGGAAGAATTGACTCTGGTTTCAGGGTCAAGTTGTATTTCTTTCACTGCCCCCCCTTTTTTTTTTAGCTTTTTGGCTCTGGTTTTAGGGCAAGGGTATATTTCCTTAACTGGCTCTAGTTCCAGGGCCAAAGTGAATTTCTTTGGTTCTGGGTTCAGAGTCAGGGTGTGTTTCTTAGGTCCTGGGTTCGGGATTAAGTTGTTTCTTTCACTGGCTTGGGTTTCAAATCCAGGGTGTGTTTGTTTCACTAGCTCAGGTTTCAGGGCCAGGGGGCCAGGGTGGGTTTCTGATATCCAGGGTGAACATGGATATAATCTCTGTCTCTATCTGTCTTAGTCTCTCTGTCGGTCTCTGTCTCACTCTGCTCTGAAGATTGTGTAGGTAACTACATATGCTCATATAAAAACACATGAATTTGGGGGCCTTCTTACTAAATAAAGAACATAAAATGGCTATGGGTACAGCCACAGATGAATCAGCGATGCTGTGATGGATTAGTGATGTCTGCCATGGCACAGGCAGGGGAAGTTACTACTGAGAGGCATGTTCCTATCATGTCTGGAACAGGGAAGCAACTGTGTTTTCTGCACTTCTGCTTGTCTGTTAGGGGATGAGGAGGCTTTGCCCCACTCTGGGCTTCTGTTTCCTTTTTGTTAGAGTGGTAAAAATGTGATTTAATGTTTAAGAGAAAACAAAGAAATAAAATATGTGTCTGTTATAGCTGGGCCAATTGTGACTTAACAGCCTCCAACAACCAACCACTTTACATCTTGGGAAACGGAGGCATGTAGAAGAAACAGGACCCACTTAAGGGTGTTCCAAAAAGTCTGGATTTTTCATGCCTAAGCTGGCTTCTCTTTTTTTAAAAAACTTCATTAATTTTAGTTTTATGTGAATGAGTGTTTTGGCTGCATGTGTGTCTGTGGGCCCTTTAAATGGAGCCCCAGGTGGACCCAGAGCTTACCAATACAGCTATTAGCCAGCTTGCTCTAGAGACCTCAGCTCTGCCGAATTTACATAGGCTCTGGGGATTCGAACCCTGGTCCTCAAGCACAGCTGCAAGTGCTTCATCCACTGAGCCATCCCTCCAGGCCATAGACTGGTGTTATCTAAGGCTAACTGGCTGCCTCCCTGTTCAGTGAGGACTGAACAAAAATCCACTCATCAGAGACTGTTTGCCTAAGTGTGTGCGAGTGTGTGTGTGCTTGTGCGTGTGTGCATGTGTGTCTGCACGTGTGTACATGCCACAGCCCGTGTGTAGAGGTCAGAGAACAACACTGCAGAGCCAGCTGTCTCCTTCAGCCTTTAAACAGTCCTGGGGGATGGAGCTCAGGCGGCCAGGCTTGTAGGGAGAGCTGTTACCTGTTGAGCTGTTCATCTGTCTGTTTGCCTGTCTGAGACAGGGTCTTCCTTGGTGTCTCAGGCTGGCCTGGAACTCACTTCATAGCCCAGGTTGGCTTTGAGTTCCTGACAATCCTCCTGCCTTAGGCTCCTGGTTTCTAGGATGGTGGCCCTGGGCTAAGAGACTGTCCGTTTCTGGTTCCAGCCCTGACTTGGGCATGAGCCTGTTGAGAAACTTTTGCAGCAAGTGCCACCAAACCCTTGGGGCATTCCGCTTCCAGAGGCTCCACACTGTAGGGCCTCACAGCTCTGATGCTGAGCCAGTCTCTCCGTTACTCTCCTACAGTGGAGACCAAATGCCTTGCCCGACATCCCGGAAATGAGGGCTCCATACGTGGGTGCTCAGCATCACTTGACAAGGACATGTGATAAGAACTTCTAGAAGGGGCCTGGGTGTCGTCACACTCCTAAGGACCCATCTCCCATGTCCCACTTCCAGAACCTTCCAACAGCACTGCCTGCTATCAGTTATAAACATATGGTGGTGGGGGAACAGTCCCATGAGGGGCAGTGGCGGGTCACCGGAGGTCACGGCCCATCCCCTGGCAGATGGGAGACCCCAGAGAGTGAGAGGCAGATGGATACATCATAAAGAGAGAGAGAGTCTGGGTGTCTGGGTATAGAGTTTATTTAGTGGGTTATGGAGGGGGACAGGAAGGGGAGAAGCGGGGGGGGGGGGGAAGGGAGAGTGGTATAAATTCTTTAAATTTAGCCATCCGCTGGTAGAAGTTAGAAATGTCAGCCTGTTTCCCACGGGTGAGGCAGAAAAATAAACAACCAGCTTGGGCCATTATCCATTCATCCACAAGATAAAGGGGCACAAGAAAGGGCAGTCACGCCAGAGGCACTAGCCATAAAGGGAACAGTCTCACCAATTGTCCCAGTGGACTGACTGACGGATAGTTGGGAAGTGGGCTGGTAGAATCCAGGGTTTAGGATTTTCACCTGCAGGGCAGCAGTGGTAGAAACAGAGCTCTGTGAACGGAAGAGAGACAGATTCTGCTGCTGCGGTGAGAGACAGCATGGGGCAGGGGGCAGCGACAGAATAACAGTTACTTACACTGCGAAGTTGAGAACCGGGAACCGTAGCTGAGCCCACTAGACGGAGGGGTTCCGGTGGGCAGCAACCGGACAGTTTAGCATTGGTGTGATTACCGTGCCGGGAACGAAAAGCAGATAGTAAAACAGAAAAAGTAGGCTGCATTTTCAGCTAACAATCAAGGGCAGAATGTAAGCCGATGATAGGGAGCTAGGTAGCTTGATATCCGAGGGCAGGTGGTGCAGTCTCCATGAGTAAGGTGCGAAGATCCAGAGACCGAACTCCAGTGTCCCGG